ACGACAAGCGACAACTAACGGTAGAACACACCACGCGACGACAACTACGGTAAACACGCCCACGACAAGCGACAACTAACGGTGAAACACACCCACGACAAGCGACAACTAACGGTGAAACACACCCACGACAAGCGACAACTAACGGTGAAACACACCCACGCCGACCGACAACTAACGGTGAAACACACCCACGACAAGCGACAACTAACGGTGAAACACACCCACGACAAGCGACAACTAACGGTGAAACACACCCACGACGACCGACTCGCAATTGAGGCACAAATTTTCTACGCCGTTTTTTTACGAATATTTTATGCCGACGACGATACCCACGATCGGAAATTGCTGAGCAATGAACAGCTATAGGTTGGCAATCGATGGCGCGTGTGAAACACTAATCCAGCTTATAAGAACTTTGGTTGTTTTAGTAACACAACCATGCTGATATTTACTCAGGTAAAAACTTTGTTTAGCGTAAGTTACATCTATCTTCGACTCGGTTGTCATTATCAATTTCGATTGTCTTCGAAACACAAATACGACTATATTCTTAGAGGTATATATAATCAAGAGTACATATAGTATGTGTAGGAGATCTCCTATAATAATATCTCTTATTATGTACTCTTGATATAATACTCTTGATGAATCGACAGAGAGCCTCATAATGGACTCGACAAACAGTGCTATCTATTTCATATTGACACAGACAGTGCTCAGAAATACCACTCTCTGTGTCACTGCAGTAACACCAGGTGCCAAATGCCTATACCTGTACTCGAATAAATCCCGCTTTAAGCCGATTCGTGACGCACGTCGAAAAAGACGAAACATCTGTTTTCATAAGCCGATTAAATCGCTATGCTAAGTACCTCAGCGACAGGTGCGTGCCAATTAATTGCTCACGTGTGAATTCTTGCAGGAGGGCTGTGTATGCCGAAGACTGGCGCCGTGGAAGGAGAGCCGTGTAAGACTGTCACCGACTGCATGAAAGGCTTTGAGTGTGTAGGCGGGGACGGCAGTGCAGGCGGAATGGGAAGCTGCCAACCGTTCCCAACTGTGAACATACGAAAAAAGCTATTCTGTAAGTGACGCCCAGCGTGTACGCAAGCATTCGCTGTGCGTAGATCGAGATTATGTACCGCGAGCATGGGGGGATATATAGGAAGGGGGGGGGGGCGCATTAGGAATTTTTTGCTTCCTATAAAAACATATTGCTGGCAGTCTCACCGTGTGGTCGATGCTGTGTGGCGTGGTTAGATACAATAATGTAACCCAAGAAGAGTAGGGTTACGTTACTAACCCTACTAGGGTTAACAAGGTTACATTACTAATAGGGTTGATAATTATAGTTGTTAGTAGTAATAGCAATTAGTAGTAATAGTAATTAGTAGTAATAGTAATTAGTAATAATAATAATAATAATATTAGTAGTGATAGTAGTAGTAATAGTTAGTAATAGAGTTACATTGCCAACCCTACTAGCTTTTTGGGTTTCATTATTGTATCTATGGTGTGGTATGCCGTGCTGTGCTGGTTAGATGTAGTATAAATTTCTATAATGACTTGTGGTGTATGGTGTGGTATAGTGTGGTGTATGGTGTGGTATAGTGTGGTTTATGGTGTGGTATAGTGTGGTGTATGGTGTCGTATAGTGTGGTGTATGGTGTGGTATAGTGTGGTGTATGGTGTGGTATAGTGTGGTGTATGGTGTGGTATAGTGTCGTGTATGGTGTAGTATAGTGTCGTGTATGGTGTAGTATAGTGTGGTGTATGGTGTGGTATAGTGTGGTGTATGGTATGGTATAGTGTGGTGTATGGTGTGGTATAGTGTGGTCACTGCGGTGGGCCGTGGCGTGGCGTGGTGTGGCGTAGCGGGGTAATCGTTCCAGCGTGTGGGTAATTCGAATTATCACATCGTCGTCTATGAGGGATTACCACTATTTTGCTTCGGCATTTTCGTGCGAATTTCCAAAATATGCTTCGTAGTTTGATGTTAATATGTTTAGGACTCGTGAATGTATCATGCATGTAAATAATTTCAAATGATAAACATTCAAAAAAGAACACGATCACAAACGTAACTATTAATATAATCAACTTCATATAATTATCTTGGGCATTTTCCTCCCGTCTGGCCATCATATATCACGTAAAATATGGTGCTGGGATATATACTGTAGACACATCATAGAGGATTGTTTAGGTAAAATATTTTCAAATTCGAATGGATTTTTTTTACAATTATCTACGGGCGGCTGAACATTGTACTGCATGCCACGTCAATAAACAAACACATTTATCCCCCTCCCCCCACACACACAGGGTTCAACACACACACACACACACACACACACACACACACACACACACACACACACGCACACACACAAGCACACACACACACACACCACACACACACACATTACAACACAATGAACAACACACCCACACAACAACCACACCTGGGTTGGGTGGAGTGGTGGTTAGTCGATGCACAAACACACACACACACCACACACATACAACAGCACACACACACACACACGCACGCACGCAACGCACGCAACCAACACGTCACACACACACGCGCACGCACGACATACGCCACCACACGCACGCAAGCGACCACGCACGCACGCACGCCACGCACGCACCACACGCCACACCACGCACCACACACATAAGCAACACACGCGCACGCACCGCACGCACGCACGCACGAAGGAAAGCACACACACACACACACACACACACACACGCGCGCGCTGCGCGCAGAGAGAAAAACAGCAAACAACGTACGCACACACGAGACACACACACATCACGACCGCCGAGAAAGAGAGCACACAAACACGTACGCACACAACACACACACACAAAGACACACACACGACACACACACACACACACGACACACACCACACACCACACACATCAAACAACACACACACATCACACACAACACACCACACAGCACACACACATATATATATATGATATATATAGATATATATATATGTATATATAATTTTACTAGACATACATACATATCATACACACCCGCAGCGCACGCACGCACGCCACGGACGCACAGCAGCGCGGACACACACACACAACAGAGATATAATCTATATATTCTATATATATATATACATACATACATGACACACAGCACGCACCACGCACGCACGCACGCACGGCAGCGCACGCAGCACGCACACACACACAGATATATATATACTATATATTTATATATATATATATATATATACATTACATACAATACATCACCACAGACATATATATAGTATATATATATACATACGTATACATACACACCACACACACACACACACCACACACACACACACACAACAGGCATAGGACACACACACATAGGCACACACACACCACACACAGCAGCACACACACACACACAACACACACACACACACACGCAAGCACACACCAGCCCACTTACACATAAGCACAGGACACACGCGCACGCACTCCAACGCACACAGACACACACCACAGCACACAGCAGCACACAACACATCCCTTCACACACACACACACACACACACACACACACACACACACACACACAAAAGGAGAGACCGTTTTATGCTTTATTTATGATTAATTTGCCGTGCTTTTTATAGCTCCCAAAAGAGAGGAACCAAAGAATGGAGCTACATGTATGTACAGCTCTATATAGCACTGTTCCAGCATATAACCCATATAACTTTGCATCGTTACTATATCCGAGTCTTCGCGCACGGCAGCACAACATCACTCTATCCCACAATCAATATTGAAAACATTGATTGATTGATTGATTGATTCCTTGATCGATCGATTGGTTGATTGGTGATCGATCGAATGATCGATTAGGGTATATAGCTGCTATACACACATATTTGTTATTCTGCTGGTTTGCGCAGAACAGGTCGTATTTTTTATACGTGAATGACTCTTACCTTTGGCATACACGGCTAGAAATTTTTCAATAATAACTCTGCGAATACTCATTACTGATTATTGGAATAGTACTGTTATTGTAATCAAATGATCATCTGCGTAATCTATTCACGCATCAAAGTCGAATTATCAGATAGCTCAACGAAGCCACCAATTTTTTGCTGTGTGTATCAATTTAAGCCCAAAACACAGTCAAAATTTAACACGCCGGTTGCATACACATTATTGAAGTGCATATCGCATTCTTTATGACATATCGCCCACGGATATACGCAGCTTCTGTCAAATCTCGGATTGCATGTGGATGCTATGAATGTGTTTCTTTGGCTCGCAAACAAGGCAATAAAAGTTTGTTTTATGAGCGTATTGAATAACCTTGACAATTGCCATTTTTCCGCCAAAATTCGTTTCGTTAAAGGACGAAATTTTATTAATACTTGAACCGTTGGTAAGTTCGTCTATCGCATGTTCCAATACGCTGAGCGATTCAATGTGCGGAACGATTGCAGTGTGTATTTTACACTCTTTTACCACCTTTCATCGGACTGATTCCGATACTGCACGATAACTACTCTTATATATAGCATCAGGAGTCTATCAATAAACATAATCTAATAGAACTTTCCGAAATCCCTGGCAAACCTCGCTAGTTGTTTGCTATGTTTGCATTGCTATGCGATAGAGGGCTTTCAAAAGCATTGCCCTTATGTTTCGGTTCACAGTTGTTGACAATGCATTATAAATTTCAAAAACCACATTGTACGTTTGGACCGATATCTCCCGATTTGTCATTTTTGTGAGACCAACGATTAAACACGGAATTAGTTTAATGATTAAGGTAAGATTTGAGCTCAGGTTTATCGAGTTAAACACAATAAATCATAGGTAGACTAAGGCAACTAAATGTTGAATTTTGCCGGTTTCAGTCTGTCTTACTCCTATTAATAGACTCCTGATAGCATGGCGTAACTGAGATGTTCTCATTCTAATTTACCGTTTTAACATACATACGTACAATTACCGTTTTTCACATTTTTAGTTTACCTAAATCGAGTACTTGTATAGAATTATCTGATAATCGTAATTTTAAAGTAAATTCGGTACCGTGTATCTATCATAGAATATTGGTTATACGCAACGTTTTTGAGAAATTTTAGCCCTACTATTACTCTAACGCGTAATCATATTTTAACTTTTTTTTACATTTATCGTCATTTAATTTGTTATCCTAATCGATTTCATATATTCTCTATCATCGACAAAATTATGGCTATAAGTTACTGTAATCAGTGGCCTATCGTCAGTATATAATAACAACAACAACAACAACGAAATAAACACAGCTATAACAACAACAACAACAACAACAACACAACACCAACATCGACGACGACGACGACGACGACGTCGGAGACAAGAACAACTTTGATAGCAGCGTCAAAAAACGGCAACAAACGACAGCATACTGGCAATGACGTAACAATACGTTTTGTAAAGCAGTAATATCGCACTATTTTTCACACATGCGCTCTTCGTACGCAAATATTGATAGATCTAGCAGGTGCATATTCGAAAGTGTATTCATTGAAGTAAGCGCAGAATTGAAAATGAAATTGGACGTATTCATAGAGGGCTCAGCCGAGCGTGGCAAAAAATGCGGGCGTATAGTCCATTTACCTAGCTGACGTGAATATTACAGACCTATTATATTCATCTGAAATAAGTACCTGTTCCTATGAATTTTCGACGTACATATAACCCCGTAGATGTATGTTAAGTATACGCATACCGGGTATATGACTATGTGAGACGCGAGGCGCTTTTGTGTGTCAAATGGTTATTAGAAAGCGAATGCATTTTTTCGACGTAACTATTCGCGGAACATTTTAATAACTATGATACGCCGGTAAGAGCAGCGCTTAACCATTATACTAACCACGCACGTGATGTCGTTTAAATGCGTATTCCACAAACGACTTGTTTAATGACGCGCGCGCGCTCGTGTGTGTGTGTGTGTGTGTGTGTATGTGTGTGTGTGTGTGTGTGTGTGTGTGTGTGTGTGTGTGTGTGTGTGTATGTGCGTGCGTGTGTGTGCGCGTGTGTGTGTGCGCGTGTGTGT